AAGGAATAACCAGTGTTTTCATGTTCCCTATGAAAAGAAATTGTTCAACGATCCTTGTAACGCCGTTTGGTATATGGTGACAGCGCCATATTTGCGTAGACCTCGTTAGGTGGGTGATGTGTTAAAGATCGCACCAGCCGCCTCTCCTTCCCACGACATCTCCTGCTGCCCATTATACGGTGGTCGAAGATCGCTGTTAGAAAAACCCGATCGATTAGGGGAGCCGCCGTGGTGAAGCGGCTGGACGCTCGCCCGTGAATCTGAATGTCGTAGGTTTTAATCCGATCAGTGCTGGACTTTTCCCCCTTCAAAAATGACATTGGCTCCTAGTTTACCTCAACCTTGAATGGGTACCAGACGGAGTCCTAGGAAGTAAAAGACCCGGAAAAGGGTTTTCACTTAATTCAGATCGATGCCTGTTCGAACCCAAAACATTCGGGCCGACAGGTAGTCGTCTAACCACTGTGATACCATGGTTCCCCGTGTTCTCTTTGTGTGGACAGAAATAGAATACATACATTAAATGTACGACGGAGAAACTCGAATTGAAATGGTATGTAGGTGCATAAGAAGCGATCATAGATGTTTGTATGAGAATTCCGTTAGTTACACATCAGCAAGGCGCAGTCAATGTGGGAACCGCGCTGTTACGTTTTCTCTCGTCTGCTTGTGTTCAGTGAGTCAGTGCTGCAAGGCTCGTACAGCCAGCAGTCGTGACCCGTAGTAGAGAAATGAGCTGTTGGTTTTGTTTTATGCTTTGTCATCAGCCTTTCCCTTCTTTTGTGCCTCGCTGGATGTCTACGGTTGTGTGTTAGTTAGCCTGTATGCATGGGTCGCTGAGGAAACAGGACCGAATTGGATTCTTGCTGCAGGAGAGCGTGTTGTTTTTACTCGCCAGTGAGTGTCCTGTAGACGTGTGCTAGTGAACGAGCTGTGTGCCGAGTGATATTGGAGTGAGTGTCGGGCAGTTATCACGCGACTCAAACTCCGGGAAATACGGGGTAACTGGAATATTGAATTAACTGTAAGTATTGTGTGTGTGCTGTAGCAAGGATATTATTTGTGGCTTCCGCTTGTTTAACAGTCGATGCTAGTGTATACTGTATCTTCTTCGCTCGCCCTTAAAAGGGCGGTTCGTACGATGTGTTGCGGTTTACAGCAAAACTACTTAACTACGATATCTGCTTCTTTCAACCCAATACATATGATTGCAGCAAATCCGTAATTAGTCACGTTTTACGATGTACTTGGCATGATTAGCATGAGGCCCCTGAACCCACACGCAATTTTGTGGCGTATGACTGACTGTATGAAAACCACCCGTAGACCTGTGTCAGCTGTGCGGTTGATGAAGTTATTGAACTAGTGGTATTGCTTGTGAATCTCCGGAATCTCTGAAGTTGTAACTCTTTTACTTTTAATTCATAACTCCCTCTTTTTCGGGAAATGTTATATTAGGCTGTCTGCTGCAGTTGTTGGGATCACATATTTAATATGAGAATAATTTTTGGAAAATGCAGAGAATACAACGTAGATCTTCATGCTTGTTTTATTGATTATAGCAAGGCATTTGATTGTGTCCAGCACCACAAACTGTTGACTATTATGAAAAGTATGGGGTTTCCAGCGCATTTAGTGCAATTAATTGAAAATCTCTATCATGAACAACAAGCAGCCATCAGAGCAGCTGGTGAAACATCTGATTGGTTCGAGGTGCAAAAGGGGGTGAGGCAAGTGTGCATTCTCTCACCATACCTATTCAATATATACGCAAAAAACATAATGAGAAATGTCAAAAATGACCAGACTTGTGACAGTTATGATCCGCTCAAAATTTGTGGCAACCCTATTTCGGAACTCCGCTACGCAGATGACACAGTCCTGGCACTCTTCCGAATACCGGCCCCATATTATTTGCTGTCCAAAACATTTCTGTTAGAGCCTCAAAGGGTTCAAGAGGTTACAAAGAGGTCAAAGGGCAGGTCAAGGGGTTATAGAGAGGTTATACAAAATATGGAACAACAAAAAATGGAACAATACGTTCCAATAATGCCGTGAAATAATTGCGGCCATCATCATCAGTTTCCACATCTACGCGTTAAGCGTTGTGAGAAATAGTTTTCGATCGACTGAAGTGACGTGGGGAGGAATAATTTTCGATCCATCGGAGCGCTGAAGTGACGTGGGGAGGAATAATTTTCGATCCATCGGAGCGCTGTGTCGATGGGAAGCGTTGTGAGAAATAGTTTTTGATTGACTGAAGTGACGTTGTCTTTGAATAATATGGGGCCGGTATTCGGAAGAGTGCCCACAGTCCTCCTTTCAAACAGCGTAAAATAAATAGAAAATTTAATATTGTCCGTCCAAAAGCACAGTGAAGATCAAAATCTGTTCTTGAATTTAAAGAAAACGAAAATAATGTCCACAGATAAAACTGGCTGTCACCCAAAAATAACAATAAATCATGAAAAAATTGAAAATGTCACAAACTTTGAATATCTAGGCTCTATAATAAACAACAATGGAGACTGTTCGACATAAATTAAAAGGAGGATGGCCATAGCAATGCAAAGATTGAACAGCCTTAAAAGTCTATGGTTAAACACCACCAAGGAGATAAAAATTAGAATTTTGAGAGCATGCATCTTCCCTGTGGCTACATACGGATGTGAGTCGTGGACTATCTCTCAGTCTTTAAGAAAGAGAATAGGGGCTTTTTTTGAGCTGAAATGCTATAGAAAGATTCTCAGAATATCTTGGACAAAGAAGATGAGAAATATTGACATCTTAAAAGATCAAGGAAGATTGGCTAATAAACAGCATCCTTTCTCGAAAGCTGAAATATTTTGGTCATATCAAGCGCCACGACGGATTGGGAAAAAAATATAGCAGAAGGCATGGTACCAGGAAGGAGGGGCAGAGACCGACTGACACGAAGATGGGCACAGGATATAAGTGACTCCTTGAGTGTGAAAGTTCATGAGGCGGGAGAACTAGCAAGAGACCGGGTTTCTTACAGGCAGATGAGAGCGACATTCTGCAAAGGACCTGCTACATGATGATGATGCCACAGTTGTTTTTAGCCTAGTCTGCGATAGCATTATTATTTCCTATCATACAGCACATGCGCGCGCGCACACACACTTTAAAGTACCAGTGTTGTCAGACACACATACACGCAGAGATAGACATAGACAAACAGACAGACAGAGGGAGGGAGGGGGGAGATTGGGTGGGGGGAGTTTAAAAAGTCTGGTACCAAAGTGCCCTCCGCATTAGGACTAGGCCCAAGAGAAGCACAAGACCCTGGCACTACAGACAGGCATTTCAGGATGTCACTAGACCATAGTTCAGCAGAGTTCATGCCAACTGCTTGTGATTAGGTATAGGTCAGGGTCGCCGGTACTTGGGGGTTTAGTCCGCACCAGGCTCCCATCCCTGCCAGTTTTATGTTTATTCAGGAGAAGGATCCTCATACTATCTAAATTTTTAAGGAACTGATCAGCCATCCTCCTAACCATGTGTAGAAGTTCTGTGTTTAGGTTTTTTTTTTAAATAGTATTTCAAATATATTATTATATTTATTTGCTTTTCGGCACATTATTATTATTATTATTGTTGTTGTTAATCACTTAAACAAAGCTTAGGCTCCTTGAGACCACCAGAAAATATGTAGGGGGCTGAGGTCTATCCCCCTCCCACCCCCAAATGTTTTCTTTTTTGTCTGTGCTTCAGGCCTGAGGTGGTTTCTTGGAAATCTTGCCATGTATTTTATGTCTATCTGCAATAAAAAAAAAAAACACACATATTGTTAGGGAATTTGACAAGAATAAGCAGATTATTTGCCTAAACATTTACAGGTTATTGACCTCCATCATTTAACCTTATGTGTTATCATTCTGACCACAGCGGCGAATTATCATCCTTGTCAGTGTCATAAGATCATGTTTGAGCAATAAAACCGCATGCCTTTCCTTGGATTATGTAAATACAAAAATGCACGCACTAATTGGGGGGGGGGGGGGGGGGTTTAGACTTTTTAAGGTGCCAGAGTTGAAGCTTGAGGCACACAAAGGGATTGTCATTTGGTAACCAGTGACTTTGCTCGTTGAGCATTGCCATCCTTTGAGCTCATCCAGCATCGTCTGTCTTGGTCTGCCTTTACCCCTCTTTTCACTGATCTTTCCAGTTGTCACGATGTTTTCCAATGCCTCTCATCTCATTACGAGACCAAAGAACAGTGTTTGTCTTTTTATTATTGTTGTATATAGAGATCTATTTCCATTAGCTTCTTTCAAACAATTGTTGTTAGTTACTCTGACTGTCCAAAGTAGTCATAACAGTCGTCTCAGAAACCACATCTCTTGCTTCCAGATTCTTCCTAATTTGTTTACTGACATTCCAAGATTCGCTGACAGACATGATGATTCATAATTTCCAGTGAACTAGTTTTTGTTTCAATGTTATTGACTGTTGTCTTTATATTTAAACCTGTCCCATGCTTTTCGTACAGTAGCACTTGAGCCACACCACGGAAGAGATTAGGGCCTCACTGCATAGTATTCCCAAAGACAGCAGTGGTGCACTGCAGCCAACTTTCATTGTGGAGATGGCACATACTTGTTACATCTGTGGCTTACGTATTGTGAACACAGTGTGCAACTCCTAAATACCTGATTCAGTTCACTTGCAGACAATTCAGCAGAGGACTGCTTTCATTGATTTTGCCAGTGGTACAGAGCACCGACCATTCAGAAAGCAGTTGCAAACTACTAAACAGTAAATTGTCTAGTAAAATTAATGACGGTCAACAAATTGCTGGGATTGATTCTGCGAGATCCTGTAAGGGATACACAGCCAATATATGGTGTTTTTGGTTTGTTTCAGAGTTTGAGAAAAATGCACCCTCAGAACCCTGTGGCGATGCAGAGTTGCCGACACCTCCTAGTTCACATGACTCCGGTGATTCTATAGCACATTCAAAGTCTAAACGTGTCAAAATGGACAAAGATGAAGACGGAGCCCCATCTTCTTCTGAGACATCTCCAGTTCACAAGAAAGGTCAGTGCATATGTATTGATTACCATAAATAACCGGTATTTAACCAGGAAAGAGAGCTGGAGCAGCTGTTGCAGACATAGAAGAGGGAAGAAGCTTACACGACTGGCAACACATGCCAACACTAGACTGTTGAACAGAAAAAAGAACTCATACAGTATGAAAAACTCTTCTAGTAATCATGTCTGCCTAATACATTTTAAAAATGCATTCCTGTCATCATCATCATCATGTGTCATGTCAGAAATCTTAGCATTTGTGGTTTACCATCTCACACAATGACCACAATCATGGATTAAGTCTGTTCCCACCCAGACAAGGGTAATTCATCAGAGGTATTTTTCTTTTTGGTTTTACCTTGCTCTTTTCCTGTCATATGTGTCACTTATCCGAGACATTCTGTTTCTCATATATATTCCTAGCATTCCTTCAGTGCAGTAAAATATAGCACAGCCATGTTGAACAAATGGACATGAGCAGACCATAGGTTTCTTCATCGACTCCCAGGCTAGTATGGCAAATAGGTGGGCTAGTTGTTAGTTATAGCACTTCATTAGCCACAGTTTGCTGTCTTATTTCCCCTATATGCAGGCTGAAAATACATAATTCTGTCACCCACCTACTGAGTTTGTGTATGGTGCAGCACTGGGAGCAGTGGATTTCACATGGAATTCTTTTCAGCTGTGTCTGAAGTGGTTTTTTTTTTCTTCTTCTTAGAACTGCACATTTAGTAAATGTTGGCAGCCTGTTGCACAGAACTGGTGCTGCCTTATGTAGTATTGCAAGTACAACTGCTTATTTGTTGTGTAATTGCTGGTGAACTGCAGTTTTTGTGGTAGACTGTTTTGTTGCCGCCTTTGTTGTCTTCCTTGTGGATTTAAAGGGGATGTGTGATGTTGCTAGTTTTGCCAGAACTGCAGTCGGTCAGTAAGTAAGTTGTACCACACCAGGTCATCACACAAGCGATAAACACCCGGTGACACAAAGTGCCACCATGCGGATGAGGATCACCTGTGGAGAGGGTTCAGAAACCCCTTTCAGCTGTAAATCCATATATTTATGGCCCGGCTATATTCAGGACCCCCGGCAAAAGACAGGGTAGGGTTTCAAATAACAAAAAATTGCATCCCACATGGGGACGGTTATAGTGTACTGCAGTCTGTTTCACTTCATTCCTAAGCATAGTGAAAGTGATATGCTATCTGTGTTGTGGTTTTTGCATGCACAGAAATGTAGTAGTTCATGGAATTAAGTCCTCTGCTTCTTTGATAGTGACATGTGTCACTAAACATTTTCACAAAAATTATTTTATTCTATGTTTACATTTGGAAAACATTTGTATCTACATGAAGAGAAGTAATCACCAAATACAAATGGAACCAAGAATTGACTGATTTCCTTTCCTTTGACAATTTAAAAATGATTTTGGTCACTTTACCACAAAGAGCAATGTGACGTAATTCTGAAATCATATGACATCATGGTGTATTCCACAATTTTGACACAAAATAAATAAATAATGTATTCACCCCAGATAATATGTTAAACATTTGTGTGTGGTAAATATAATCATGTCCGCCATGTGTACACACTATACAGCTGCAGCCGCTACCAAAGATGTCATACATGCCTATTACTGGGCGCTGTCCATGGACATCATGTCAGCCAGAACTCGTAAAAGTTGCAAAAACATGCTCGCTCTGTGTACGAGGGTTAGCGGCTGCGGGTCCCTTCTTGTTATCCCCAGTAACAGGCCCCAAGAACTCAGGCGGGGACATTTAGTGTCTGAATGATGAGTAGGTTGCAACTGGACGTGTCAGTGGCAGTACTGGCAGAGAAGAGACCAAAAATGTTACCTAGTCAGTGAGTTCAAAGGGGAAGATGTAGTGGTGCAGGGGCAAGATGCTTGCCTGTTGGAGTGAAGGTCTGGTTTGAGTCTGCATCAGGTAAGGATTAAAAAAAAAAAAATTAGTTTGTCACTCAGTCTAAAAATGGGACAACAGGAGATGTCCTTGGAAGTAAAGGTGGTCAGTATGATTTAGAACAGATCCCCCTCAGTGTCTCATTGGTCTATTTGATCCACACACACACACACAAAAAACAAAACAAAGATGGGTCTAGACCCATATGCTCAGTGTGATGATCCAGTGTCCTGACATTTCCTGGTGCTCATGTTAGATTGGTTTTTCTAGGGCCAAGGTCAATTATAAAAGTCTATTCAGGTGTGGATTTGACCCCAAAACCTTTGTGCTGGCAGGCAGGCAGGCGTCTAGCCACATCTTCCAACTCTTGCTAGGTCTATCTATATACATTTTTTTATATTCTGTAGTTCAGATTGCCCACCTCCACCCTCTTAAAACTATCAGTTTATCAGTGCAATTTATCTTTTGAAACCTGTCAATGAATTCAGTGGCTTGTACCCATAGGAGGTCAGCGTTGCGAACGCACTTCATAATTCTGTGTTCGGTCCCTGCTGTGGAAAATTCATCTTGCATTGGTTTTGATAGTGGTACAGAAAGCTGACCATTTAGAAAGCAGTGGCAAACTACTGAACGTAAAATTTTCCTAGAAAGACTGCAACAGCCACAAAATGGCTGAGGTTGCTTCTACATCATCTTGTAAAGGATGTGCAAACTTTAACCCACAGGAGAAACCGCTTTGGTTGCAGTTTGGCTAGACACTCACTGCTGGCACCATGTTCTTGGGTTCGAATCCTAGGGCAATGAGTATCAGGTAATTTCTGGGAAGCAAAGGTGGCCACATGATGGTAACTACCACACAGACTGATATCTGCAGAAATCATCAACGCTGTACGAACGGCTAGTGGATAATAATGGATCTCTGATACTAATGATACTAACACAGTTGTGTGGCCTGGTAGTCAGGCACGGTGAAGCACATCTTCGAGGCCGAGATAGAAGACGTTGTAACCACCTCCTCATTGGAGCAATCAGTAGATGTACCTTGGAGTTGCAGTTGCATTGGGAGACCGAGCATGCATGAGAATCCCAATGTACGATGATGTCAGTTGTGATCACATTAACACTCACCAAATGTTGATTTGTCTATAAAATATGAGTATGGCATCATATGTCTGATTCACTGCTGGTATAAACATTAAAACTTAGCTATTTTTATTAAAAATTTTGTTTGTTACACCTTTACCCGCAGGTGACAGAAGTAGATCGTCTGGTGCTGAAGGCAGGGATAGTATAGTCTCCTTTGACACGAGTGCTGAATCCACACCCAGAAGATCGTCCGAGAAGCCCAAGTCTGCAAACTCCTCTTCCCAGGCCTCATCTGGAGGTCAGGACCTCAGCTTGGTGGACATGAAAACCTCCTGGGACGGAAGTGCTGCAAGCGGCGGTAGTGCTAAGGGTGAGACCACAGATGGTGAAAGTGGCTATAAGGTTCCCTTCAAGCACCGAGGTAGGGAGGCATCTTGAACGATGAAACTCGCTCATTGCCTGCTGCATGGTGCTTGGGTTTTTTTTTGTTGCTATCCCCCCAGTTCTTTCCAGCCATTGGCAAGAGCATGTATGGGCAGATGCACATTCTGCATTAGACTGATCCAGGAAGGTAGATATAAAAGTCTTGCCTTCTCTGAAGGTAACTTCTTTTAAAGAAGAAGAAAAATGTTGAAGTTATCAGGGGTCGTCATATTGATGAATTTTTTCTGACCCATCTGCTGTAAAATAACTTGTGTTTTGTTTTGTTAGCAGTGACAGCGGAATGGTCTTTTATAAAAGAAAACGTATCACAGTTTTCTGCATGGGCTTAGATCCTATATGGCACCATTTTTCAGCTCGCGACCTGTTTAGAAAATGGTACCAAGTAATTAAGTACTGCTAGAAATCCATGGGAAAAAAAATTAAAGCATGAACTTAAAGGCCCACATCCCCAAAAACCTTCAGAACACAGTGCACACTGCTAAGATAAGAATAAAGATAAGAAAATACTCAAAGAATGGGATTGGGGATAGAAAACTGAATGGGAGTTGAAGTGAGGATAAGAACAGGGTAGATTGCTGTAACTCCTCCCTGGGAGAAAAGGCATTAAGCATATGATGAGTCTGTTCTGCAGATAGGGTTTGAATAGTTCTTCATTGACTATCTTCTTTTTCTACTGCAAGTCCTTATTAATGAAGTAAAGGTAATCACAAAGCAGTTGCTAAAGTTGAAGCATGATATGCTCTAGCTTTCTTATATACTGGGTCATTACTTTATACAGCGGGCTGACAGGTTATCTGTATCACAATATTTCCATGTCAGTTCAGGGTAAAATCAATTGCTCTTTTGTGGTGCTGTTCTTTTTAGTTAGTTGCGTATCCTTTACAAGACGTTGCAGAACCAACCCTAACAGCCCCTGGCTGTTGTGTGGTTTTTCTAGGCAATTTACATCCAGTAGTTTGCCATTGCTTTCTGGACGGTCAGCTTTCTTGATACCACTGTCGAAACCAATGCAAGGCGCATGGCCCGCAGCTGGGATCGAACCTGGCATCCCGGCATTACGAAGCGAAGCGTTCGCATCGACTTAGCCACAGAGCCGACTGGTGCTGTTCACACGAGTTAAAAACTTGGTTTTTGAGCCAGTTTTCTGTGTGTTGTTGTTGACATGAGGTAAAAAAAATTGGTTTGAATCCAGTCTTTTGTGATGGTGTTAACTTGATCAAAAGATGTGATTTCAAACAATTCTTTTGTGATACTGTTCACATGAGGTGAAGACTTGGTTTCAACCCATTCTTTTCTGATACTGTTCACATTAGATAAAGACCTGGTTTCAAACCATTCTTTTGTAATGCTGTTCACATGATATAAAGACTTGGTTTCAGACCATTCTGACTAGCCTTTTAGGTGCTGATCTGCAGTATTTAAATTGTTTGTGGACATGGCAAGCCTATCCAAGAGTAACTATGGTGATACATAAGCTAGTTCACTTATTTCCAAACCTAAATGTCTGGGTTCAATGCCAGGCAGCAGCAGTGATTTGTAAACTACAGTTGTAGGAAAGATGCCATCACTAGATAGGACACAATAAGAAAACCTGATGATAGTATAGCTGTAATATTCTTTGGTGCAGGAACCTGTGGGACAGTAAAGTTTAGAGGAAGATCTAAAAATATGTGGAGGAAAAAAGGCAGATAATAGTATTGGAAAGATTGAGCTACTAGAGTTGGCAAAGGAAGGATGACTCAGAGCTGGTTTCAGACTCTGAGAGTTGAAGTTGATCAGAGCTTATAAATGTGGTTGCTGCTAATCTGCACAACTTTCTGGCAAGAAATGATTATATTAAAGTGAGATGTCCCTCACCCCATAATGTCACGACCTATTGTATGTGAGTGCCTATTACTTTGGTCTTACCTCCAACCCTGGATGTAGTACATGTGCTGCCCAAAGCATTGCTTTTGTCTGTGGCTCGTATATTCACACCCACTCCGTCATTTTATTTTGTTTTTTATTTCTTTATGCGTTTGTCAATTCTCCATTTTATTTGAGTATTTTAGAAACTTGCATCCTTATTTTCATAATTATTTTTGGTTTTGGTATTTTCTTGGCATTTTGTATGTTTTACAAATTTCTAACTTTCCCCCCCCCCCCCTTTTTTTTGCATCTGCTTTTTATTTATTTTTATTGTGTTAGAGCTTTTAAAAATATTTGATTCAGAAAACTTTAACTGATTATGAAGTAACTACTGTTAATATTATAGAACTGTACCTATTCAGTTGTAAATGCATAGGAGAAATTCTGAACTAGAGTTACAGTGAAGAAACTAAACAATTGACTATACTGAGGAATTGTATGATGTAGTTTGGTGTAGCAAGCTAGGTAATCATTTCCTGAAAATGTAGATGAAATTAATTATTTTGATTTTTATAATTGCACCTAAGGCATAAATAAGAGTTTTTGTATATGTTTGCATGCTTATATATGTGAATGCATGTCTGAGGTTCAAGAAGTCCCATAGAAGTTGCTGTTGTGTTATGAAATGTTAATTATTTATTTAGTAGAGGCCAGTGTTCTTCAACCTTTTAACACCTAAGGACCAGCAAATCAGGGGAAATGGTTTTGAAATGAAACTGGCGAAAAACCAAAAACAGATATAAATATCAGTTTATTATATTAAATGTCATATTCAGTGTCACAAAATTACAGTTTTCAACTAATGTGACATCTGCTGCTGCTTAGAGACAAGAAAATATATCATATTCCTGATTGGAACATTGTTTCTGATATACAAAGCGCTGCATTAACATATTTGAAATTTTTTTCTGTTAGTTTAAAAAAAAAAATCTCTGATACAGCTAAGAAAATGGTTTGTCTTTTTCACAAAGAGGAGGTTAAAAAAAAAAAAAAAGCCACCAACAATCTGATAGCTCTTTATAATTCAGTGATGGATATTCTGTTTTACGTGATATCCAAACCTCAAACATTGATTGCATTTTATGTCTGGACACAGGATGCCATCAAAGGACAGATTGACCATGATGATGATGATGATCAAGTCTGCATGATCTTATGTCTCCCAAAAACCGATTACTAATCCAAAGGTTGCCTGTATGGGGGGATCCTCAGGGAACTAATCCAAAGGTTGCCTGTATGGGGGGATCCTCAGGGAACTAATCCAAAGGTTGCCTGGATGGGGGCCCCCTATTCAGGGAACTAATCCAAAGGTGCCTGTATGGGGGTCCCCCAATTCAGGGAACTAATCCAAAGGTTGCCTGAATGGGGGCCCCCTATTCAGGGAACTAATCCAAAGGTTGCCTGTATGGGGGTCCCCTATTCAGGGAACTAATCCAAAGGTTGCCTGTATGGGGGTCCCCCTATTCAGGGAACTAATCTAAAGGTTGCCTGTATGGGGGGATCCTCAGGGAACTAATCCAAAGGTTGCCTGGATGGGGGCCCCCTATTCAGGGAACTAATCCAAAGGTGCCTGTATGGGGGTCCCCCAATTCAGGGAACTAATCCAAAGGTTGCCTGAATGGGGGCCCCCTATTCAGGGAACTAATCCAAAGGTTGCCTGTATGGGGGTCCCCTATTCAGGGAACTAATCCAAAGGTTGCCTGTATGGGGGTCCCCCTATTCAGTGAACTAATCTAAAGGTTGCCTGTATGGGGGTCCCCCTATTCAGGGAACTAATCCAAAGGTTGCCTGAATGGGGGTCCCCTATTCAGGGAACTAATAATCACAATGTTCAGCTAATGTTAAGTGCTGACTTATTGTGTTGAATATTGCGTTGTCATTGAGATTTTTGGCGGGTCATCAGGACGGTTCCTCAGACCGCTAGTGACCCACAGACCCTAGTTGAAGAACACTGGTCTAGGCAGGGTTATATATAGTGGGGTGACCAGTGCCTTTCCTCTCCAGATTATTGTTACAGTTATCTGGTGCCCATTTATATGATCTGTTTGTTCAGTCTGGTTATGCTGGTAAAGTTTATTCTGGCTCTGCTAGCACTTCAGTCGGAGCCACTGTTTCAGTGGGCAAGCACACTAGCTAGCTGCTATACCATTGCAGCCATAGGGATTGGGAAGGGGAAGGTGAAGGAGAAAGAGAGAGATAGAGTTGAGGTTTGTGTGTGTGAGAGACAGAAAGAGAGAGCCATGGTGCATATTTGAGACAAACAGTTTGTGTGGTGTGTGTTTTGAGAGAGAGTGATGAAAAAGAAGAGGGAGAGGTGTGAGAGAGACAGAGTTGGTGCATATTTGAGACAAACAGTGTACGTGGTGTGAGAAAGAGAGATTACAGAGGGGAAAAGAGGGGGGGGGGGGGTAAGAGACAATTATGGTGCTATGTAAAGTCAAGTTGAAATACAATAATAGCAAAATAAGTTCATTATGGTGATTAACTGTCTTTACAGTTTATGTATAGTTAATTATCACAGTAATTTGTATTTTGTTTATTGTCCCAATCAGCCACATGCGGTTAACAGTAATTGCTTCATGCTTTAGAGATTTGTTTGTATATTTCGTTAGTAAATTGCAATTTTTATGTGTGTGGGAATAATTCTCTGTGGTCATTTGTTACACCTCAGGTCCAAACTTCCGTTGATCTGTTCATGTACTAAGTTATCCGAACCTATTTTGGTGTGCATGTCACCCTTCAGACTGTTGATTAGCGTTGCTAAGGAATTTCCAGAGCAGAAGTTGATAAGACTAGTTGCACATTGGACTGGTACTGGTAAATAAACAACACACAAATAGAGTACACACTCACCCATAAAGAGCAGGTAATCCACAGTAGCGATGTAAATTTTTTTAAAAATACAGTCACATTTATAGGGTGTGTACATTTTCATTGCTGTGAGTTAGATGTTGTAAGAGTCTTTCCCTCGAAGTCGGAGTATATCTGCCGGAGAGGCGGGGAACGAGAACTGCAAACAAATAAGCCAGTAAAACGGATGTACACGCAAAACTCAGGTCAAGGTAAAAG